CCGGGACAGAATCCGGCACCCTGACTGGGACTAGAACCCGGTGTGCCGGCGCTGCAGGCGGAGGATTAGCCTATTGAACCACGGTGCCGGCCTATTCTGAAATTTTTAAGGAGATACTAATCCATGTCACCTTAGAGTAGAAGACAAGAGTAAAATATAAGTTTGACATGGAACTCCTGAGACTGTAAGTTAGCGTGAGTAGATGATTAGCTACATGGTGGGGGGGGGGGGTAGTTAATACACTGCTTTTCTTTTTCTATATAGAGATTTGTATTTATAAAAATTAAATAGGGGCTGGTGCTGTGGCATAGCAGGTAAAGCCCCCCCTGCAGTGCTGGCAGCCTATATGGGCGCCGGTTCAAGTCCCGGCTGCTCCACTCCCAATCCAGTTCTCTGAAATGGCCTGGGAAATCAGTGGAAGATGGCGAAGGTCCTTGGGCTCCTGCATCTGCATGGGGGACCCGGAAGAAGCTCCTGGCTTCTGGCTTTGGATTGGCCCAGCTCTGGCTGTTGCAACCATTTGGGAAGTGAACCAGAGAGAGAGGAAGACCTCTCTCTCTCTCTCTCTGCCTCTGCCTCTGCCTCTCTGTAATTCTGCCTCTCTGTAATGCCTTTAAAATAAATAAATAAATCTTAAAAAATTAAACAGAATATAGCATATCCATACAATGGAATAATATTCAGCCATATAAAAGAATGAAATACGGATACATGGATGAACCTTGGAAACAATATGCTAAGAAAGCAACCATAAATGTCTACAATAGAGAAACCATAGGGAGAGAAAGTATATGAGCCTTAGTTATTATTTAGGACTAAGGAGGATAGAGAGATGGGAGTTAAATGGTTTCTTTTCAAGGGAATGAGAACGTTCTAAATTGATTCTAGTGATGGTTGCACATATCTGATTATATGTATTTAAGTAGGAGAATTATATGGTATGTGAATTACATCTCAATAAATGATCTTTTAAAAATTAACTAATAACTTTTATGAAAATGGAATACTGATTTGTTCATTCTTCTTCTTGTAAGCTCCAGAAAAAAATGACAGGAGCCTCCAAATTCTGACCGCCCCTAACCCCAGGCTCTGACTCATTCCAACACTGAGACATGCTGTTCCACGTCCAGAAGGTCGAGTCTGACGTACTCTTGACTCAATCCCCACTCCTAGGTACATTTAGCACCAGCCTGAGGGCTTGACCTGAACTATGTCCTGTGCTAGGCACTCAAGTTAACAAGGAAGACAGCGACCCTAGTTCAGGCTCTCAGAGACTGCTCTTGTCCTATCCAAAGTCTGACAAAACCCACTACCAAACCCCACCCCAGATGCTAGTGTGAATCCCACTTCCTTTGGCCAAGCTCTTTCCTCCCCTTTAGGTTGCAGTTACCTGACAATCACTGTTACATAGGCTCACACAACATGGAGTTTAATTTGCCTCTCTGAAAACTTTTTTAAAGATTAAAGCATACAGAAATAAAACTAGTGAAAGGAAGCTGTTTGGTGATTTTATGAGCTAACCGTACAACCTAGACTGAAGATGGTGGCTTCCCACAAGCTACCTCTTTGAGTTAGCACAGCTGGCTGTGGCTCTTCCTCGTAGCTTCTGTGCTTTCCATTGCTTCCCTACTCAGCCTGTCACTGTGCACACTCACACCCTCCCCCTCGCCACTGTGAGTGATCATCCTGACTCATAGAATACTCTGGGAAAAACAGAAACTATTGCAGATCCAAGTTTTGGGAGATGAGTGATGGTTGAGTTGCCTGCATGGTATAAACGATTTGTTACATGGCTTATTTTCACTTCATGGTAAGTGCCAACTGAATGATAGTCTCCTGATTTGTATGAACAGCTTAAAAACAGGTGATACAAGGTTCTCTTCTCAAATACAAAGGTACTTCAAAAAGTTCATAAAAACTGTGATTAAAAGATAAGCTTATTTTGGTGCAAAATTTTTTGAAATCCATCCATAGATTTTTCATAATGTGCAATTCCACAAACTTTTTGAAGATCCCTTGTATAAATGCTTTCCAATTTTTTGCAACAAAGTAAACTTACCTTTTAATTTCATTTTCACAAACTTTTCAGTACTCTCCTACTGAAAAGATAAAAATAATCTGACTTATCCATTACTTCTAGTTGTGTTTAGGGAGCCCATTTTTAGTGGGCTTTTTAAAATGCAAAGTCACTTTAAGAAATATGGCAAGGGGCCAGTGAGGCATAGGGCAGGTGAAGGGCCAGACACCAGAGCATGGCTCTACCTGAGACAGCAGCTGCTGACAAAGGGAAGGCGAATTCTAACCACCAAGAAAATGTCTCTATTGGGCATCAAGGAATTAGAGTTTGAACTTAGTGGGGTTACCTTACCTGCTTAGCAAGGTAGAATTTGGTTATAGGTGATCTCTTGGTCCTGGATCTGTACACATGGAAAAGCTGCCAAGGAGCTAGGAGCCAAAGGAAGATCAACGGAATCCACACCAGAACAGTTTGTTCAAAACAGAGTGGCAGGTCTGCCTCTGGGCTGTCCAGGAGTGAGGAATTCTGAGGGACCACAGGAAGGATTGGTGGATACATGCATTTTTGACAACAGCTGCACAACCCCAAGCACAGCCCACCAGCTTACAAATGATTTTAACTCAATTCCCTACCCTTATCCAGCCTTACTCTTTATCTGTATTTTTTCGTTATACAAATATGTTATATTTTTCATTGATACAAATTCACTATTTCATGACATTTAGTAACCTTCCAGCCAACCTAACCTCTAAAATCCCAACTTCCTGTGATTCTAAGTGAACTTTTATTCCAGCCATTCTAAGTAAACCTCATCACTACAATTGCCAAGTTGTAGGAATAAGAACTATTCATTAATCTGAAGGGAGAATAGTTCTTCGGGATATAAAGACTTGTTCTTATCTAGTTGCTAGGACTGATTGAACTCACTGGCAGACACTCAAAGATGCACGCAAGAAAGGCAGAACGCTGAGTCATAACGTGGGCCAGAGGGCTATGTCAGAACCTCAACATCTGGGGCTGGGCCAGGCCAAAGCCAGGAGCCCGGAACTGAATCCGGATCTCCCACATGGTTGACAGAGATCCAAGTAGTTGAGTTGGGATCGGGGCTGGAGGTGGGACTCAAACCCAGGCACTCCAATATGGGAGTGAGCATGCCAAGTGGAGTCTTAACAACTCACCAAACACTTGCCCCTCTCAGCAAGTTTTACACCAGCCTTTTCACTCTACAATAAATGGAAATGTTCTGTATGGTGAAAGAGAGCCATTACATTTGAGTCTTGGAAGGGTAGATAAGGATGAGAAGTTGAGACCAGGGATACAAATTTGAGCATTATGAGCACTGAGGTAATTTTTGAGCCATTAGAGTTGGCAATAACTATTTTTAAATTGTTTTATATGGCTTCTTATAAGAGATTCTTTAGAGGAAGTTTTGAGGTGACCTTTGAATTTGTAAGAGGAGCCTCAGAAAATTCTCAAGAGTATCCCTTCTTCCTGTTGGATACATGTCCTGGTTCTGAAGGCCATGGGGCCCTGGGTCGATCCAACATAGGAAATGCTGCCTACGTGCTCTGCTATCTCATTCCTCCTCCTCTCCCGTCTACAGTTATCATACTTTAGAATTCAGAAGAATCACCTGAGATACTGAAACTCTGTTAATCACCCCATGTGATTCTGATGCTGATACCAGCATCAGATGACACTTCAAAGTCACTAAATCCTTCTCATTCTCTGTTTCACAAAATCAATTACTACTGTTGATTGTTCTGTTTTGAAATTCTCTGTTCTCGATGACTGCATGATCTTGTACTTTTCTTGTTCATCCAAATACCTAAGCTCTTCTTCAGGGATACTTCCTGTTTTCCTTTCTTATTTAATAGTTTAAGAAGAATTTTTTTTTTAATTATTGTTTGAAAGGCAGAGAGACAGACAGACAGATTTTCCATCTCCTGGTCCACTCTCCTAATGTCTGCAACAGCTGGGGGTTGGCCAGGTTGAAGTCAGGAGCCCAAAACTCAATCCGGGTCTCCTAAGTGGGTAGCAGGGACTTGAGCCATCACCTGCTGCCTCCAAGTGTGTACATTAGCAGGAAGCTGCAATCAGTAGTAGAGAAGGGACTTGAACCTAGGCACTCTGATTTGGGATATGGGTGTCCCAAGCGCGTTTTACTGCTATGTTAAATTTCTACCTCTCTTCCTGTCCTTTTCTTCTAAAAACAGTATTGTCCAATGCTAATGGCCTAAAAATTATCTCAGTGCTCACAATATCCACCTTTGCATTTTTGATTTCAATTTCTAGTCCATATCATTAGATGCCAGTTTCTGTAGAAAATATAATTTCAAATTCAACATACCTTAATAAGACTCGGTTATGGACATTCTCCTAATCCTCCTACCCCATAAACTACAGAACAATTTCCTTTCCTAAGACATATGAAATTGAGAATGTTTTCCTCTGTTTCTCATTAGAGAAGGCAATTTTGCAACTATTTAGCCCAAGAAAGGAGACAGGCATAACATAAACTTATGATACAGAATAAATTATATTACCTTTCCCATACAATATATCTTCTGGAAATATTATTAATTATCCTTTCTAAAAACACCTGAGCTTTAAACCAACTGCGTAGCTAACATTTTTGGTTCTTGCTGGTGGCCACTCCAACCTAATCTACCACTTGTTCTGTGTCTGAGAAGAGTCAATAGTGAAAAGAAATATAATTTCTCACCCAAAAAGTAGAGTTGCAGAACTTATCCAGCATGATTCCTGGAGCACTTCTGGAATGAAGGTTTCTCTTTGACTATGTTGCTGCTTCTTTACTCCTTTCTTTAGGCACGGTGGAAGGTGAGTGGCAATGGATACTTATCTCCATTCTGATGTTCTGATGTTCCAATTAAAGGCAGCTTTCCTGAACTTTCATCTCAACAACTTAATCTTTAACTTTGCCTGGAGCATGTTTACATTATCCCAGTGGATAGACACGTGACTGAGGAGCAACAGGGACGGGCAGATTAACCCAAAGCACCAGGAGCCACAGTAGGCATGTCAGCAGATGACAAATCAGGAGCGCAGTAATGTCGCACTCCCCTGGGACACAGGACAGCATGACAGAGGACGCGGGCATCCCTAAAGGTACAGTTTCACTCTGTTTAAAGGTCTCAGAGTTCATGGAATATTCTACTCTGGATTAAAATTTTTAAAAATTATTATTTACTAGAGAGAGAGACAGACGGACAGACAGAAAGCTCCCAATCACTGGCTCACTCCACAAATACTCACAATAACCAGGGTTGGACCAGGATGGAAGCCAGTAGTGGAGAAGGCAATCCAGGTCACCCACATGGATGGCAGGAACCCAACTACTTGAGCCATCACTGCCATCAGTCGGGATTTGCTTTGGCGGGAAGCTGTGCTCGGGAGCCAGAGTCAAGAATCCAATCAAAATACTCTGATGAGGGACATGGGTGTCATAAATTCTAGACAAAAAAAACAACCCTCCCCCTCCTCTGGATTTTTAATTAAGAACACAGAACCTAAACACAGTTTAAAATAGTGTAAAATTTGTTTGAAAAAGTTGGGTTAATGCTCGCTTCGGCAGCACATATACTAAAATTGGAACGACAGAGAAGATTAGCATGGCCTCTGCACAAGGATGACATGCAAATTCGTGAAGCGTTCCATATTTAAAAAAAAAAGAAAAAAAAAGAAAAAGTTGGGTTATAAAATAGCATATCCAGTGTGAACCTATACTGGGGTGCTTTAAAAACTTGTGGAAAAATGGAATTAAAAAGTTTATTGGTGCAAAAAAAATTTTAATCACTGCAGTTTTATAATGCACATTTTTTGGGCCAGCGCTGTGGCATAGTGGGTAAAGCTGCCACCTGCAGTACTGGCATCCCATATGGGTGCCGGTTCCAGTCCTGGCTGCTCCACTTCCGATCCGGCTCTCTGCTATGGCCTGGGAAGGCAGTGGAAGACAGCTCAAGTCACTAGGCTCCTGCACCTGTGTGGGAGACCTGGAAGAATCTCCTGGCTCCTGGCTTTGGATCAGCCCAGCTCCAGCCGTTGCGGCCCTTTGGAGAGTAAACCAGTAGATGGAATACCTTTCTCTCTCTCTGTGTGGCCCTCTGTGGCATGGCGATACACATACATACAGATATATAAAATATGTATGTATGATTTATGCAACAAAAATGTTAACCTTAGCTAGTGGCGTTCTGGGTGATTTTTCTTTTTTACTTATTTGTGTCTTCTCATAATTATCAGGCATTATTTGTGTCAATGATATTTTAAAACCATTATTTATTGGCCGGCGCCACGGCTCACTAGGCTAATCCTCCACCTAGCGGCGCCGGCACACCGGGTTCTAGTCCCAGTCGGGGTGCCGGATTCTGTCCCGGTTGCCCCTCTTCCAGGCCAGCTCTCTGCTGTGGCCAGGGAGTGCAGTGGAGGATGGCCCAGGTGCTTGGGCCCTGCACCCCATGGGAGACCAGGAGAAGCACCTGGCTCCCGCCATCGAATCAGCGCGGTGTGCCGGCCGCAGCGCACTGACGGTGGCGGCCTGGAGGGTGAACCAACGGCAAAAAAGGAAGACCTTTCTCTCTGTCTCTCTCTCACTGTCCACTCTGCCTGTCAAAAAAAAAACAAAAACAAAAACATTATTTATTGTGTTAAACAGGCATAAAATTTATCATCAATCATTTCTAAGTATACAATTCATTAGTGTTAAGTGTATTCATATCATTGTGTAACCGATCTCCTGTACTTATTCATCTTGCAAAATTGAAACTCTATGCCCATTAAACAACAGCTTCCCATTATCCTCTCCCTCCAGTAACACAAATGTTATTTTAAGACATTATATTAAATTAAAACAGCCAGATATGCCTGCCAGCATATTAAAGTGTGAACACAATCAATTGGAAGATTGTATGGAACCATTTTGGTCATTGACACAAATGTAAACATGGCTCTGAAGTTGTACAGTGAAATAATTTCATAAAGTCTTATTTAAATGATCTGAAATATATTCATTTTAAAAATATTATCATCAATATGACCCCCACCCCCAAAAATATTCCCACAAGGAACTCAAGGGCATCAGAGACTCCTGAACTTATTTAAGCATGGCACTATTTTCATAGCTCCCTTAATGTCTGTTTGGGAGACACTAAATTAGAGACCAGATAGACAATGTGTAACTAAATATTAGTAAGTGATCTGGAAGGACAGAGTTTGAATAATTTGAGAAATGATCATATTAATAATTATAGATCTAGTCATAATAATTTTGGATATGGTCATAATATCAGTATGGTGGCTTTAAGATAGGGCTGCCAAAAAGTTTATTTGCATGAGAGGTAGTTTGCCAAATATGAGTGAAGTCATTTCCAGGCATCCTAAAGGAATAGAGGAATAGCAATCTCGCCGACCTCAACAAATGACATTTAGAAAAAAAGATTATCCCTGGGCCGGCGCCGCAGCTCACTAGGCTAATCCTCCTCCTTGCAGCACCGGCACACCGGGTTCTAGTCCCGGTCGGGGCGCCAGATTCTGTCCCGGTTGCCCCTCTTCCAGGCCAGTTCTCTGCTAGGGCCCGGGAGTGCAGTGGAGAATGGCCCAAGTGCTTGGGCCCTGCACCCCATGGGAGACCAGGAGAAGCACCTGGTTCCTGCCTTCGGATCAGCGCGGTGTGCCGGCCGCAGCGCGCCAGCCGTGGCGGCCATTGGAGGGTGAGCCAACAGCAAAAGGAAGACCTTTCTCTCTGTCTCTCTCTCTCTCTCACTATCCACTCTGCCTGTCAAATAAATAAATAAATAATAAATAAAAAAGAAAAAAAGATTATCCCAGAATACATTAATATTCAGTGCCATTTTAGAAGAATGGAAAGGAGTATCTATAGAATCAGGACTTGTTAATTCTCCATTGTCATCCCTTCTATGTTTTTTTAAGATTTATTTATTTATTTGAAAGTCAGAGTTATGGAAAGAGAGAGAAGAACAACAGAAGTATTCCATTTGCTGGTTCATTCCTCAAATGGCTGCAATGGACAGGGTGGGCCAGGCTTAAGCCAGGAGCTAGGAGCTTCTTCCAGGTCTCCCACATGAGTGCAGGGGCCCAAGGACTTGGGCCATCTTCCACTGCTTTCCCAGATGCATTACCAAGGAGCTGGATCAGAAGTGGAGCAGCCAGGACACAAATCCGCCCCATATGAGATGGCAGTACTGCAGACGGCAGTGGCCCCCATCCCTTCTACTGAGAAGGGAAGAACACTAAACCCAATACAGGAAATTCAACTTTGGATTTCAGATAGGTGATTACATCTGTAAATTTATTACTTCTTTGTCTGTGGTATATTCAGACTGTATCTATACAGATTGATTAACAAGATAGTAAACTTCAAAATGAGAGAAAATATTTGCAAATTATTTGTCTGACAAAGGATTAATATCCAAAATATAAAAGGAATTTACATAACTCAAAATAAAAAAAAAAAGAAACCTTTTACTTAAGGAATACAAACTTCATGCATTTTATAAGTACAGCTTTAGGAATATAGTGATTCTTCCCACCATACCCATCCACCCACCCACACTCCCACCCCTCCTCCTCCTCTCTCACCGATTCCCAGTCCCGTTCTCCACTAAGATCCATTTTCAATTAACTTTATACACAGAAGACCAACTCTATACTAAGTAAAGAGTTCAACAATTTGCATGGGAAAAAGAATAAAAAACAAAAAACAAAAAAATCCCTGTTCCTCAATAGTCAAGACAAGGGCTGTTCAAAGTCATGGCATCACAAAGTTAATTTCACTTTTTTTTTAAGCTTAATTAATTTCAGAGAAGCACCCAAGAATGATACATCTTTTGTGAGCACTTAGACATAACTATAACTTGTGAGACATAAGAATATCCTCCACTTAATACATTTAAAGAAAGTAAGTCCTTGAGAAAAAGTTTTATCATTAATTAAGGAAACACCTAAGAAAACAAGCAATAGAGTTGGATACTTAGGCATAACTAAAACTTATGAGACATAAGAATATCCTCCACTTAATAAACTAAAATGAAATAAATCTTTGAGAACAAGTTTTACTGTTAACTCTCATAATAAAACTCTTTGAGGACAGAGGTCCTGCATGGGAAATTAGTGCACAATGACTCCTGTTGTTAATTTAACAATTAACACTCTTATGTATGATATCAGTGACCACTCTTGACATGAGTTGCCTAGGCTATGGAAGCCTTTGAATCCACAAATGTCATCAGTATCTAGACAAGGCCATAAGCAAAGTGAAAGTTTTCTCCTCCCTTCAGAGAAAAATACCTCCTTCTTTGATGACTACTTCTTTCCATTGGGGTCTCACCCACTGAGGTCTTCATGTAGGACGTTTTTTGCCTGTGTCTTGGCCTTCCATGCCTGAAATACTCTCACAGGCTTTTCAGCCAGACCAGAATACCTTAAGGGCTGATTCTGAGGTCAGAGTGCTACTTAAAGCAATTGTCATTCTATGAAACTGCTGTGCTTCCCATGTTGGAGCATTCACTCCTTAAAAATAAGCCAATTTAAATATGAGCAAAGGACTTAGACATTTCTTCCAAGAAGATGTACAAATGGCCAATAGATATATGAAAAAAAAATGCTCAACATCATGCCATCAGAAAAGTGGAAATGAAAATAATAATGAGATATCACCTCATGTCTATTCAAATTGCTGTTTTAGGGGCTGGCACTGTGGAGTAGTGGGAAGAGCCTCTGCCTGCAGTGCTGGCATCCCATGTGGATGCTGGTTCGAGTCCCGGCTGTTCCACATTCAATCCAGCTCTCTGCTATCGCCTGGGAAAGCAGTGGAGGATGGCCCAAGTCCTTGAGCTCCTGCACCCTCACAGGAGACTCGGAAGAAGCTCCTGGCTTCGGATCGGCATAACTCTAGCCGTTACAGCCATCTGGGGAGTGAACCAGCAGATGGAAGACCTCTCTTTCTCTCTACCTCTGCCTCTGCCTCTACCTCTCTGTAACTCTGCCTTTCAAATAAATAAATCTTAAAAAAAAAATTGCTGTTTTAAAAAAGGAAAGATAACAAGGGTTGGCAAGGATGTGGAGAAAAGGGAATCCTGGTACACTGCTGATAGCAATATAAATTGGTGCAGCCATTATAGAACACAATATGGAAGTACCTCAAAAAAATTAAAAATAGAACCATCATATGACCCAGCAATCCCACATCTGAAATCATAACCTCAAAGAGATAGCTGTACTACATTCATTGCAGCACTTCTTTTTTTTACAACAGTCAAGATTTGGAAATAACTCAAATGTCCATTGAAAGATGAATGGATAATGAAAATATGGTATACACATCTAGTGGAATGGTGTTCAGCCTTAAAAAAGAAAGAAATTCTGCCATTTGTGATAACACAGACAGACTTGCTAAATGAAATAAGTCAGACACAGAAAGACAAATACTGTGTGATCTTATATATATATATATATATATATGTAGACTCTATGGTCAAACTCATAGAAGATGAGAATAGATGACAAGGACTGGGAGGAGGGAGATATGGATAGGCATCAGTCAAGATGTACAAATTTCAGCCATGCAAGATAAAATACGTTCTGGAAATCTAACATATAGCATAATGACTATAGATAATAATAGTGTACTGAATAATCGAAATTGCTGAGTCAGGCCAACCAGGACCACATACCCCTCAGCAGATCTACTGGCTGAATACAGACACACAGGATAAGCCCAGGCAAAAACAACATAGGAGCCACCCAATCGCACAGAGTTATGGAAAATAGAAAATTGTTGCTTTAAGTATAAATCATGAAAAAAGACTATTCAGGCTGGCGCCGCGGCTCAACAGGCTAATCCTCCACCTAGCGGCGCCGGCACACTGAGTTCTGGTCTCGGTCTTATGTCCCGGTTGCCCCTCTTCCAGGCCAGCTCTCTGCTATGTGGAGGATGGCCCAAGTGCTTGGGCCCTGCACCCCATGGGAGACCAGGAGAAGCACCTGGCTCCTGCCTTCGGATCAGCGCGGTGCGCCGGCCGCAGCACGCCAGCCACAGCAGCCATTGGAGGGTGAACCAACGGCAAAGGAAGACCTTTCTCTCTGTCTCTCTCTCTCTCACTGTCCACTCTGCCTGTCAAAAAAACAAAAAACAAAAACGACTCAATGTCCTTCTCTACAGAATGGGTTTATAAAAAAAAAAAGAAAGAAAAAGAAAAAAGACTATTCAGTGAGAACAATTGCTTAATTTTGCCTCTTGGCCTGTAAAGCCACAAAAATTTACTATGTCGCCCTTTATATAAAGAGTTCACCGTCCCCTGAAGTAAATTCCAGAAATGACAAGGCAGAAGAGAGCCACAGCAGATTGCATCTTTGTCTAAAGCAGCAGGGAAGAGGAAGCAGCCACCATGTGTGGGATTCAGGAGAAGCCAGACTACTTTTTTTTTTTTTTTTTTTTTTTTTTTTTTTTTTTAGATTTATTTTATTTATTTGACAGAGTTACAGAGAGATGTAGAACCAAGGAGAGAGAAAGAGGTCTTCCATCCACTGGTTCACTACCCAAATGGCCACAGCAGCCAGAGCTGAGTTGGTCTGAAGCCAGGAGCTTCTTCTGGGTCTTCCACGCAGGTGCAGGGGCCCAAGGACTTGGGCCATCTTCCACTGCTTTCCCAGGCCATAGCAGAGAGCTGGATCGGAAGAGTAGCAGCCAGGACTTGAACTGGCACCCATACAGAATGCCAGAGCTGCAGGCCAGGGCCTTAACCCACTGCACCACAGTGCCGGCCCATGGACTACTTCTAAAAATGTTTCAAGGCCATGTGTGGGGCTGACATAACAGATTAGAATTCAAAGGAGCTCCAGAAACATATTGCATGACTCTTTGCCACTGGTGTTCCCCAAAAGCTGAGAACAGCATGACAAAAAGGGAATGGGGGGAGTTGGGAGAGCAGAGGCAAACCCACAGCATTGTATGCTTTCACCTATGGAAGACCAGCCCAGGCAGAAGAACTGAAACTCCAACACAATCCCACCTTTACCAAGAGCGAGGCAGACCCAGTCATCCCTCAGAATGGGCAAGAGAGGAGGAAATCTCTTCAGACACAGGGAGCAGGGTGCAGGTTCCAAAGAGTAGACAGTGGGTCTTCTTCCTGTATGGGTGCCGGTTTCAGTCCCGGCTGCTCCACTCTGCTACAGCCTGGGAAAGCAGTAGAAGATGGCCCAAGTCCTTGGGCCCCTGCACCCTTGTGGGAGACCTGGAAGAAGCTCCTGGCTCCTGGCTTTGGATTAGCCCAGCTCCAGTCATTGTGGCCATTCAGGGGGTGAACCAGCTGATGGAAGACCTCTCTCTCTGTCTACTTCTCAAAGAAAGAAAGAAAGAAATCTTAAGAAAAAGATATATTAATGAATACAAAAAGCTAGTGGGCTGATTCATAGGCAAGGAACTTGGAAATCATTACTCTGTGTGTTAACAGTAAGTAAATACCGCCGGCGCTGCGGCTCACTAGGCTAATCCTCCACCTTGTGGCGCCGGCACACCAGGTTCTAGTCCCGGTCAGGGCGCCGGATTCTGTCCCGGTTGCCCCTCTTCCAGGCTAGCTCTCTGCTGTGGCCAGGGAGTGCAGTGGAGGATGGCCCAAGTGCTTGGGCCCTGTACCCCATGGGAGACCAGGAGAAGCACCTGGCTCCTGCCATCGGATCAGCGCTGTGCGCCGGCCGCAGCGCACCGGCTGCGGCGGCCATTGGAAGGTAAACCAACGACAAAGGAAGACCTTTCTGTCTGTCTCTCTCTCTCACTGTCCACTCTGCCTGTCAAAAAAACAAACAAAACAAAACAAACAAACAAACAAAAAAAACAGTAAGTAAATACCTCAATACAAACTGAAGAAACAACAACTCTTCTCGGGTTCATACAGAGGTAGGATCACAGGGAAATTCCTGTCCCCAAACTGGAGAGACAAACATGGTATTGAATACCAAGAGTCATAACTTTCAAAAAACCTCAACTGGAACCAGAAAAACAACCGAGGAATTGCTGGAGGCTCAGTGCAGCCAAATTTCAGAGACAAAAACTCCTGAGCGACTCAGTCATGGGGTCAAGGGCCAATTTCCTTCTGCCAGTTTTGCCTCTAGAGCTAGAAGTTCTGACAGGGAAACCAGAGGAAGGAGCTCCTGTTTGTGCGCTTCCAGCAGAGGGGATGGAAATATTTCCTCTAAGCAGAGTGCCAGAGCATTTCCTTTAAACAAAATTTGGCCTCAGAGACACAAACCAGAGCCTAAGCTGATGGGGTTTAATCAGAGCCTGACTTCATGTGAGAGAAGGGAAATCCCAACTCCAGTTCACTCCGGCCACCCGCCTCTACCTAATCAGTGAGAGGTAGACTGAGAAACACGTGGCAAGTTCATAGTCCAGAGACATGGGCTCATTAAAGACTGCAACCTAATCACAGGATGACAGAACTCTCCCCGTCTCTCCACTTTGTCACCACATTAGTAATGGCCTATTTTCAACAATTTCTTTCACCCAGTACATCATGTCCAACTATTAAGAAAAGATTACAGGAGTGGATGTTGTGGCACAGTGTGTTAATATCAGACGTGCATCCCACTTCAGAGTGCCTGAGATCAAGTCTGCCTGTTTCCAACCCAGCTTCAGCACACACCTTGGGCAGCAAAGTGACGGCTCAAGTGCTTTGGGTAACCTGCCACTCATGTAGGAGACCTGGATGGAGTACCTGGATGGAGTTCCTGGCTCCTAGCTTCTACCTGGCCCAGTCCTGGCTGTTGAAGGCACTGAGGAGTGAACCATTAGATGGAAGACCTTGATTTCTCTCCCTTCCCATGTAGCTCTGCCTCTCAAATAAATAAACTTTAAAAAGAGACAGGGGCTGGTGCTGTGGCATTGCAGGTAAAGCCACTGCCTGCAGTGCCAGCATCCCATATGGGTGCTGGTTCAAGTCCTAGCTGCTCCTCGAGCTCCCTGAGAAAGCAGCAGAAGATGGCCCAAGTCCTTGGGCCCCTGCACCCACGTGGGAGACCTGGAAGAAGCTCCTGGCTCCTGGCTTCAGAATGGCTCAACTCCGGCCATTGCAGAGTAAACAAGCAGATGGAAGACTTCTCTCTCTTTCTGCCTCTGTAACTCTGCTCAAACAAATAAATAAAAAAAAATCTTAAAAAATTAGAGACAAAATATTACAAAGCACACTAAAAGGCAAAATAATAAAACAAAACAAAACAAACCTCAAACAAACAAACAAACAGAAAACCTAAACAATAAAAACCCCCCACACTTTGAAGAGACAGAGTAAGCATCAGAACTGGACTCAGATAAGGCAGGGATGTTGCAATTATCAGAGCAGGAGTTTAAAACAACTATGAATAATATGCCAAAGGCTCTGTTAGATAAAGTTGACAGCACACAAGAAAAGATAGGCAATGTAAAGAGGGAGATGGAAATGCTATGAAAGGACCAGAAAGAAATACTACAGAACAGAATGCCTGTGATAGGATTTTTAGAAGACTGGGCATGGCTGAGAAAATAAATCATCTCTGACTTTGAAGATATCTCAATAGAAACTGCCAAAACTGAAAAGCAAAATTAAATAACACTGTAAAAACCAGAATATCTGAGAAATGTGGGAAAACTATAAAAGATATAACCATATATAATTGGAATACAAGAAGGCAAGTAAAAGAGAACAGAAGAAATATTGATCAAGAATTTCCCATATTGCTGTTAGACACCAAATCACAGATTTGGAAAGCTCAGAGAACACCAAGCAGTAAAAGTACCAAAAAATAAAACAAAACAAATGAACAACAAAACCAAAACTATAACCAGGCATTCCATATTTAAGTTGCAGAAAATCAAAGCTGAATAAGAAAAAATCCTGAAAAAAGTCGGAAGAAACTCCTTAACCTGTTGAGGAGCAAAAATAAGGATTATATCCAAGTTTTCCTCAGAAACCATACAAGCAAGAAGAGAATGCAGTGAAAATATTTCAAGTGTTCAGAGGAAAAAAGCCAATCACCAACCTAGACATCTGTTCTCTGGAAAATTCAAAAGTAAAGGAGGGGCAGGCATTTGGCCTGGTGGTTACAGTGTCTGTTAGGATGCCTGCACCCTTATCAGAGTGCTGGGCTCCAGCTGCCTGCTAATGCACACTGTGGGAGGCAGCAGGTAGATGGCTCAAGTAGCTGGTTCCCTGCCACCCAGTCAGAGACCTGGGCTGAGTTCCTGGCTGCTGGCTTTGACCTGGCCCAGTCCCAGCCATTGCAGGCATTCGGGGAGTGAACCAGCAGATGGTTGTTTGTCTCTATCTCTCTGATTCTCAATGTTTCTTTTTTAAGTAAAGCAGTGATAAAGACATTGGCTTTTAAAAAAAAAAAAAAAGATTCATTTATTTATTTGAAAGAGTTACACAGAGAGAGGAGAGGCAGACAGAGAGAGAGAGTCTTCCATCCACTGGTTCACTTCCCAGTTGGTCGCAATGACTGGAGCTGCGCCGATCTAAAGCCAGGAGCCAGGAGCTTCTTCCAGGTCTCCCACGTGGGTGCAGGGGCCCAAGGACTTGGGCCATCTTCTACTGCTTTCCCAGGCTATAGCAGAGAGCTGGATCAGAAGTGAAGCAGCCGGGACTAGAACAAGCGCCCATACGGGATGCCGGCCCATATGGGATGCAGGTGCTGCAGGCCAGGGCGTTAACCTGCTGTGCCACAGCACCAGCCCCAAGACTTTTTCAGACAAACAAAGATTGAGGGAATTTGTTGCCACTAGACTGTCTTACAAGACATGTTAAAAGAAATCTTTCAGAAAGAATGAAAATTATATAGTTCAGATCAACTTAAAGAAGAGTAGTGGCCGGCGCCGCGGCTCAATAGGTTAATCCTCCACCTTGCGGCGCCGGCACACTGGGTTCTAGTCGCGGTCGGGGCACCAGATTCTTTCCCAGTTGCCCCTCTTCCAGGCCAGCTCTCTGCTGTGGCCAGGGAGTGCAGTGGAGGATGGCCCAAGTGCTTGGGCCCTGCACCCCATGGGAGACCAGGAGAAGCATCTGGCTCCTGCTATCAGATCAGCGCGGTGCGCTGGCTGCGGAGGGTGAACCAATGGCAAAGGAAGACCTTTCTCTCTGTCTCTCTCTCTCACTGTCCACTCTGCCTG